ATGACAGAGAAAATGGTTTGTAATTTGGCATGTTGCCCACGTAAAGCTTATACAGGTAATAAGGAAAGTGTTTGCAAACCATCAGCCCATATGTATGTATGACATCCATATATAACAACAAGGTAACGAATTTCTTTAATGGCAACTAATTTCGTAGAAATTGCTAACTCTGAAATAGTACAAATTGCCGAAGTAGAATCTATAGAAGACGACAACAGTTTCGCAGATACCGATCCAAAAAGTATAGGGAGCTTCGAAAAACAGACAGCTGTTAAGTAATTGTTGTCTGTTCCAAAGTCAATATAACATAAATAGACCCAGAAACAGCCTAATACACACATTTTGGGAGAGTCTGCTTTGCCTTTGAATATATTTAGAGCCCTGTGCTCAAGCATAGGAACACGTTTTGATTTACAAGGCACATTTACAGAAAAAATATAAAATTATTTTAAAAAAAGTGAAAAATAGGGTTGATCATGCGAGCTAGGATTGTTAATAAAACTTGATAAAGATTGAAGAGCATTTGAGAGACAATAACGGAAGGTGGCAAAGAGTGGCCACCGGACTTATTGTTATAAAAAAACATTTGGAAGACCTGCTCTCTGCTGGGCAAAAGAGCTTCGTTAGCTCAAGCAACAATAAATAACGATAAGCTTCTTTGTTGTATGCTTAATTTCCCTGGTTCGATATCATCATTTCAAAACTCTAATGGTTAAAAAAGGCTATATCGGCGACTTTTTGAAAACAAATGATTTGCCCAAGTTCTAAGAAGATTGTAGACGTAAGAACCCACTCTGCTTGGGCAGATGGTTTGTGATTGAAATATAAATTGGGACGAAGTCAGTTGATGATTTGTTCTCTATAGAATAACTAACGGACGTTGGTCGGAGAGAGGGATAGAGCACAACGACAAATCACCGATTTGTTTATAGTTCATTTCTGTATACGTGAAGGAGCTTTCGAGTTCATTGCCAAGTCAAGCTCGACATTCATCGAATGCTGAAGCAACGTGCACGAAAGACAAACTCATCTAAAGGAACCCACCCATGGTTCTTTTCTGTCTACCCTCGCTACGCTTGTGGGGTCTCTATCTCACAGTCACACTCATCCCATCTGGCTATTCCTCACTTCTTAATGATCTCTGACAATGACAATGATTGAAAAATCTGAGCAGCGGTTATTCACGGCCGCTTTGCTTGCATGCAGATCAACATTTTAGAGCTGTAGTCGTTCGTTTGTATGCATACATACAAACGCATCACATTAACACTTAGGGACAAGCGCTAACAGAGACATAGCCCTTTGCAAGCCGAGGCACCATATAGGCCCTTCACTCGATATTCACGAAGTCTCTAAACGTTCTCCCACTCTACATCTCTCTATATCTATCAAAGCCATCTATATCTGTGATGCTGCTCCTTTCACTGCTCTCCCACCGCCCCCTCTCCCAATCCCCCGCCTCCGAAGGTTTTTCATCTTTTCCGTTAATCTCTAATTGTTGTTGGAAGCAGTCCTCTTATTGTTGTAATCATAGCGACGAAGAACGAATGCCTTTAACACAGCTCAGATATCCTTTTCTGTGTCCATCTCGGTCCCGGTCTGTGCGCTTCATAGCATACTACATACACTTTTGAAACCTGAATTTTCGAACTACGGACAGTCTACGCTAAGACTGTGTCAACCCTGTTGTTGCTGAGCTTCGTGCTCCAGAAGCATTGACTGTGCGGGTGTGGTAAGAAGGCGTCAAATTTTGATAATAACAATAGGGATCTTTCAGTGGTGAATCTTTGCATGTAACGTTAAATTTTTAGGCCATAGTTCATGAACTAATGAGTTAATCAATAAAGTACCTACATAATTTAATTTGGTATAGAGACGATGTTGTGGACCAAAACGGCAATATAAATGTATGTCTTAGTGTCGCGTTTATTACAGAGACATACATGTTATACGTCCACAGGTGCGCAACATAGAAACCAGTGACTGCTAGACATGTACTATCTGCCTATTTGGCTGACGGTGTCGTCACCGGCCTTGTGAATGAAAGCCGTTTTAAGATGGATAATCGTAGCCTTTAAACGAATCGTAGTAAAACTTTATATATATATATATATATAGGCTGAAGCAAAAATACAAACAGTAAACAAAGACACCTGGCTTAATTTGTTGATCACATTTTTTAGAGAGAATCTCGAACGTTATCTCTGTTCAGCCCCTGCTAACGTATATTACAAGTACTTCTCTCTCCTCCAAAGAAATTGGTATTAACAAGTTATTAGACGTTTCACAAAAATCTGATGTTTGCAAGCAAATCCAGCCAAAGGTCTCGCTTTTCACGGTTACTTTGTTATTGGTTCACTCCTGTATTGCTTGAGCGCAAACGGACCCCAAGACGGAATCGACAGATACCTCGGATTTGAAAGGAGTTGGCTATCTTCTAGCAACTGCTGGGTATTTGCAAAAAGATTCGGCGATAACCCGAAGCCCGTTGAGCCTACGATACGAGTATTGTCAACGCAGCATTTTGTTGGAAAGCGAACACCAAATATTATTTCGTCGAAGTGTTAACCATTAACTTATCGGTGCACAGTGATCTAGCTTTTGTTACTTTATTGAGCTGCTTATTCAGATAGGCAAATCCCCTCATGGAAACGATGTAAACGGATGCTTCCTTCACATTTTGCTGCGGAAGAGGCTAGTTAAAACGGTGTCGAGAATGCTTCTAGGAACGATTTGGATTACATTAGAGATTGCTTCGCAGAACTGAAGAGACGCAAAGGACAAAATATGGCTACCAATGTTCAATAGATTACAGGAGCTTTATTTGTGCTTTGAAAATGTACATTTGTGTAAGTGAAGTTGAAGCTTTATACTTTTTTTGGGCTGAATATTCGAGATTGAGTCTATATCCTACAAAGGCTTACTGTTGATCAAAAAAATGATATGAGTTCCCGACAAGCTATACCAAAATCATGTCACGAGAAATGCCTATTATAAGAAAAAAGAAATCGTTTATCGATTGGCGAGTGTAGGAAGTTAACAGCCGCGAAACCCATACTGGCAGCATTCTAAACGTTCGCACTTACGAAGCGGGTACCTCCGAGCAACTTCGAGGATGCAACAAGTCAACTATCATCCTTCATTCGGCACTATCTACTCTCCAAGTTATTATATTTCCAACTAGCAGGCCAATTCTTACATATACGCGAAAAGCTTTATTATGCAATAGGTTCGCTGCTTTTAAAGATGTCATTGTCCCGCTTATAATAAGCTTACATTGTGAAGCCCTTAAAGTGGCTTCGCTGCCCGTTAGTCCCGGTAATGGTAGTCTACTCAATTAGAACCTATCTCAACGAGCCTATTTGGGGCGGACGCATCTCCACTGATCACTTAGCGTAATCCGTGCCTGGCCGAAACTCATTCGAGCGTGTCATGAGAAAAAGACTCCTGTGTCTCCCACGAAGCTCATCAGGCGCACAGCCTTTCGAATTAAATATGGCGGTGAAAGGATCAGCCACTAACCCACCACGTTGTTATGTCGTAGGCGAAAGAAACAACAAACGACCGCGCAAAGAGCGCTAAACGACACGAATAATTTTGTTCTACATAAAATAGGCGGCCTGTTATTGCCTTGCGTCCGTTCTGTCCTCGAGAGTGAATTTCATGGGATGTCCGCATCGTTTGAACTTTCTTTTTCAGCTTATCTCCGATAGCTAAGTCTCCTTCTATTGTGGGGCAACTGGTAAAATCCGATGTGGATATCAACAACAAGCATGATTGCGGTGCCAGCCTGCGCATTAGATTGAGACTGTCTGTTTTCAGCAACAGTCAGTGAGTCCATCGGTGGGCGGTTCGTTGTGAATTGATACCGCACTTTCGCAATGATCGCCTTAAATTGTGGTTGTCTCGTTGATCCCAATCGATTAACTTGTAGGCAGTCCTTTGTTGTTATAGTGGAGAGCCTTGTGATCTCATGTACTTATGTCAGCTAGTCCGCATTTTAGGCTCCAACCGAAGAACATACAATGAAAGCAAAACTGATGATCGGCCGACCGGCTGGTCGGTCGGTCACGTGTTTCTTACGATGGATCAAGCAGCTTCTTCTATTTTGCCTCCTCCTTGTGCCGGAAGTCATCATAGTCATTAAGAACACCGACCCAGAGATGTTGCCGGCGTTCGCCGACCATCTTGTGTACGTACTACGCAATGGATGCGGATATGATCAGAGAACAACAGTAGTTCAGATGAAGAAAGGAAAAAGCATGAGAAAGAGTCAGGTAGGCAGATAGAGAAATATAGAGGCAGATGAGCATAGACGTGTGTCAGCGTGACACGAAAAAAGGAGATTTGGATTTTTTGGCCAGGAATTCAATTACATGAATCAGGAGAATAAGAATAAAAAGGAAAGCAACTTTCGAGAGACTCCCCCAGCTGCAACCCCACTGGCTTCAGTATCCGCAAAGAAGGGTAGATGTGTGTGTATCTGATACAGCAGATGGCAGGGTGCTGATCACAAGGTGATGATATAGTCCTCTCCTTCATTATGATTCCCTCACTGTGAAGTATCGGTGATCGGGAGTGAAATATGCGCATTTGCTGGTAGGGTACACGAAGCTTGATTTTTGGGTGCAAAGTACAATTCGTGTTGCTTTGTTATTTCAATCACGGGAGAAAATCGCATACAATGTAATTTTCTATCTTTCGGTAAGACTGATGAGTGTGAGCTATGTTTTCAATTGACTTAATTTGAATGCCTGAGATAGAAAAACTTGCACTCGCTTGATAAAATTGTTAACAGTGGAAGATCTGATTGGATAATGTGATAATAATTTGATTGGTGTCGTTTTCGG